TATCCCTCTGCCTCCGCAGGTGGCGATGGCGACGGGGCAGGTGCTGTTCCATCGGTTCTTCTATTCCAAGTCTTTCGTCAAGCACAGCTTTGAGGTGAGCGCGGAGACTGGGCGAGCGGTGGGTTTTGGCCAGCCACACGCCAGGCGGGCGGCTCGCCTCCAGCCTTTAGGCCACGGGGTTTTGGGTGGGTGTTTTTTTTTTTTTAGTTACGTATTTCTAGTTTTATCTGGGTTACAAATCGTTTTCTTACGGGAACTGGGCTTTCTTTCAGATTGTTGCTATGGCCTGCATCAATCTCGCATCCAAAATCGAGGAGGCGCCTCGTCGCATAAGGGACGTGATCAACGTGTTTCATCATTTGCGGCAGTTAAGAGCCAAAAGGTAAGATTAGCTTTATTACGAACGTAAACATCGATTGTCACTAATGTACACTGCCGTTTTCAATTCGCAGCATTTTTCCAGGCTAAGTTCAACGACCTAAAATTGAGCAGGGAGTGCTCGTTGGCTGCTGTGTAGGCAGTACAGTTCAGTGCTGACTACTCCTGCTGTTACTTTTGAACACTTGGTAGACCCATTTTCATTATTTATACAGCTACGAGTCATGAGGAGTGACTGATTCTAGCGTTAGGTCTGTGGCTGTAGTTTTAGGTCTGTCGCTAATGGATTTTAGGTGTCTTGGAGTTCTTGAAAGGTAGTCTTAGGTATGAGGAGCTGATTAGTGGGTTGCTGTGTATCTTCCGAACTTTAACCACCTTCAGTAGTCGGAATGCTTTTCTCTTGTTGGTATGTAGCCATCCAAATGTGGTTATGGTGCCACTAAAGTGCCAGTTAACAAGTGAAAGCTGAACTTCTGCCAGTGATGGCAGTATTACCTTTTAGAAAAAAACAATTTTGGAAAGTATCTGAAAAAAAGTATGGTCTTGGCCTGCAGCATTAATGACACCACTTCAGCAAGGGATGTGTAATTGAGTCTTGGAAGCTGAAGGGATCTTTAAGTGCAAGAAGTGAGAATTGGCGTTTTTCATGGTACCATGTGCTTGTGTCGTTGAAGTTGGAGTGTCAGCTTACCTGATCTTGTGTTCGGATCTGGATAATTGTCTACTCGAGTTGTAGAGCTGTTCTCAGTTGTGAGTTCCTAATGTTGCTTTTTTGTGTGTAAAGCAGTGTATGTTTTTGTGTGTAAAGTAAATCAATTAGATTGGAAGAAACAAGGAAAGACTGAAGGGAAGACATTTTTGAAGTTGGTATTAAATGCAGAATTTCTTTAAATCTGTCGTGCAGCAGCATTGTAGTCTGTGAGATTGGAGTCATCAGCTGTGATGAAGTAGCTTTACTTTTAGTGGCCGATTGCTTAAAGTGTAAGGTAATCCGTAGTTACAGAAGGATTTTGTTTTCAGCTAGATTCTTAAATTCACATTTTCATTTCTGTGCTTTGTATCACTAGGATGCGGCAGGAATTTAAACTTTAGCATTGTGTAACCTGTTCTGTGAAGTAGAGTAGAAATCTCTTAGGGAAACCAGCTGGTTCTTGGTGTGCATATCCTGGTTATGCTTCCGTTGCTTCTGAAACTTCTGCTTTTACTGCCTTATGCTGGTGTTTTCCTAGTTAGTTTTAGATAAGAGTGATTTGATGTTACACTTTGGCACTTAGCTTTGCTCTTCTTTGTTTTCAAATTGTTATCCCTTATGGCCCTGAGAGAGATTTGTGGTGTTACGCGGCGTGTGAACTCGGTGGTATTGTTTCTCACAACAGTTACGATAAGGGAGTCTGGGTATTGGAATTATTGAGGCTGGTTCAGTAATTCTTAACGTTTTGACCTTGATCCAGACAGTGAAGGTTAATTGATCATATGCAGTGCTTTGCAGTGAGAATACAAGTTAGGTGTTTCTTTGTGCTGTGCGAAGGATCAGAGAAACTGAACTTAACCTGTGAACTTAAACCTTTCCAGCTAGCCCGTTCCAAATCAGAATGTCACTTGTGCATGTTACATGGTGTCTAAAATGCATCATGTCGAGAGAAATCGTGCACTTCTACCCATTATTTTCTGCAGAAATGGGTATTGTTGCTCTGAGATTCTGAGCGAATCTGCATGAAATTAATCTTAAAAATGCTGAAGTCTGACATTCAGGCTTGCCTTTTTTTTTTTCCTCTTTTTAACAAGCAGGATGTAAACGTTTTTCTGTACTTTTTACAAGATTACAATTACATAATCTGTACATGTTATTAACTTCAACTCTTTTTTCCCTTGCAACCAACTATACAGCGACCAGCTACATTTACCAAAGCCTGGGTGATGTGGAGTGGTACATAAAGATGAAGCTGTCGTCATGGCAACAGTGAGTGAAGTATCGAAAATCCCCAAGGAGAAGCCAGTGCTCTGAGAATAGGTCACTGGAATCGGGGGACTAACAGGTTGGCCGCTGGTGAACCATTTGGAAGAACTCCTGTATCTTGTTATAAGCTTTTTTCTTTGCTGTCCAGGTTTTTAGAATACTAGCTTAATCTTTTTTTTATTATTTATCTGAAGCTAACACTTAGGCTGTAGTTAGTTTCTCACACACAACCCGGAACTGAAACAACCAGTTAGGCTGCTGTACTTCCTTTTCGCCTCTAGTCTAGTATTTCTGTTAACTGAAGCTCTTAACCTGCACATGAAGTTTGAGTAGTTTGAGTAGGCTTGCTTTCTACCTTAAAACAGTTTTGGGTCCTTAGTTCCACTTCCTGGCTCTGTATAATTGCAGTTTGAATTCATAGTAAAACATGCCTTCACAAGGATACAGAAGTCTTGAATTTGTAAAGCTATTGATATAAATTATTATGTAAGCAGTCCTTTATATGTACGTGTTTGCAGAACTGGGGATTGCATTGGAATTTTCTTTTTGTAAGACTGTAGTCAACTGAGTTCCTGCTAGGTGATATTTCTAATGCTGAGAAGTAAGAAAAAACTAAAAAATTGTTTTGCACAAGTATATTTTCTTTCTTATCTTTCATGAGCATGTGTCATGTAGTACTGCATGTAAAAATGTTTGTGTGCATGGAGAAAAGCTCGTATTATGAAAATACTGCTTTTTAAAAAATTGTGTGCCGAAACATCTGTGTTCTGAGCGAAGTGCAACTGTTGTTTAACCTGTAGAATGGAGTTTGAAGTTGATTTTATTTATCGTAATGTGCCTGAAAGCTGCAGAAAGTCCTTATGAGGCTGGAACCAAATGTGACTCCTGTCGTCATGTAATCTCACAAATGTTGGTTTGAGATGCTCAGTCAGCTGTTCTTTACTTCTGTTGCAGCAAACAGGTCCATGCAGTGGTGCTGGAAGTGACCTGTATTAATAATACACACCTCTTAGTGTTCTTCAAACTGTTCTATAAATCTGCGATGCTTGTATTTACAATGTTGGAGACAAATGTAGAACTCAATTTATTCTCTTTTATTGACTGGCATAAGAGAGGCTGGGTCTTTGAAATGAGATGCTGATGTTATGCTGTACTCGTCAAGTACTTTGCATTAACAACACGACTACACGCAGGGCACTATTCCTCCAAAGCATGAGACATTGCAAAGACATGAGATTTTAATATTGCATCAAATGACGCTGTAGCTGTGTCGAGAACTTAGGTTTCATTTGTGAGAGGGATTTAAAAAAGGATATTTGTAATTTATTTGTTGTTGCAAACACATTATAGTGTGTGCTAATCCTTTGCGTTGTTACACAATCTCTAATCCCGATGAAGTGCTGGGGCTAAGTGTTGGATTGGTTTACCAGAGTGGGCACTGTGTGAGTCCAGAGTCTTACCTGGAGCTCTCGTGCTGACCTGTAAGAAGTAAGAATTTGTAATACTATTTGGCTGTGTAGCGCTTGAAGCTTATATTTTATATGTAAACTTACAAGTTGTTTTTTTTTTTTCCTCTGGTTAGTTACTTGGACCTAAAAACGGTTACTTCCTGGACCGAGAACTATTCACAAATTATAGTAGCAAATTTCTTTTTTTTTTTTTTTTTTTTTTTTTTTTACCCTGAGTGGGAAAACTAAGAAGTTTTCTAAAGGGAAATGTGTGAAGTTTCCAACTTCTGTATCATTATGCATACCAACACTTGGGAGTTAATGGTGAAAGTACTAAATCGGTAAACCTTCATGCAGTGGGGAGCCTGACTTCTGCCAGTAATAAGGTGCAGTAAAGTCTCCTGCAGATTTTTATTTTTGCACAAGTGGATAAAAGGCTGCGTTTGTCTTCCTGTTTCTGGAATCACTGTCTGGATAAACTGATGTTTTTCATGGCTTCCTTTGATCTGTAGATCTCTAGAACTTGTGTGTTGTAAGTGACCGGAGTAATTCGGGACAACAGAGTAAAGCACGCTTTCTAGTGTCTTAATTTTGAGTTCCCTGTTGCTTTGCTGTTGAACGTGTACAACCAAAGTTTGAACTCTTTGTGCTCATCCTGTGAAGGACAGTAAAAACTTAAATGCAGCAAGGTTCGCAGTGTTTCCTGTTGCACTCTGAGCTACCTTACTATGTTTTCCTAATACTAACTTTCTCGCATAGCTTGCAGAGGATGCAGAGACATGTGGACGATAGTAGTCCTCAGCAGGTGGTTGGATGATCCCATGCAGTCATGTTGTCCCACTGTTGATTTTTTTTTTTTTTTTTAGACTGGAAGTCATAGCTGCCCTAACTGTTTCATTCAAGATTTGTCACCTCTGATGAAGTGTTCTGCTAACAAGATAAGCTGAGTCTGGACACCTAAACTTGCTCTGAATGATGCTTTGCAGATCCTGTTAATGCCAGTGATCTCTAGATAAAGTTGTGTAAAGCAATATTGGAGGCAATGTTATTGTAAATCCCAGTACAGTTGGAAGTCAGTTGGAAATGAATCGGTTTCACTGATGGGAAGAACTTCAGCTTGGCTCTTCAGTCTCGCACTCCAGAGCATTGTGTTCAGGCAGCCTTTGTAGTGCTGGAGCCTTCAGATAAAATCATAGCCTCTCCACTCAGGTAGTTACCTAAAAGAAGCTTTACCAGTTTTTCTTTTCCAGAGTAATTTATGAAGGGGGGAAAAAAAAAACCAAACCCAAACAAACAAACACAAACTTTGTAAACTTGCTCTGAGGAGTGAGAGTAATACTTAAGTAGGGATGTTACTTTTTTGTAACATGGAAAACATTGCATTCTTTTAGGAAACAGAAGCAGTAAGGCTTGTACTTGAACTGCAGGTCCTTCCTGGCACCAAGAAGCTGCAGTAATTCCTTTCAGACCTCCTGGGAGCTGCTTCTCAGCCCCTTGGCTTCAAGTGCATGGTTGTATGACGTGATGCTTTTATTAGTGAAGTGGATGGCTTGTAGACCAGTGGTAAATGAGCATCCTTCCAGGTGACTGGAGAAGTCTTAGCATAAATTGGGGGTTATTAAAGTTAGGAAGCCCTTCAGCTAGCCTTGTAATTAAATTGGTCCTTGCTTCCTGGGGTGGGAACCTAGGTTTTTTGAGTGCTTTTTCTACTCTGGCCTGTCAGGGAAGAGAATTGTGATCCACTTGAGGAATTTGCACAGAATCAAAAAAGATGAGTTAATAGTGGAATATTTTGTATGATAAAACAGAAGCTGTATTTTGAATCCACTTTGCATTACTTCTTTTTTTTTTTCTTTTGAAGGTAATTTAAAATAAATATGTCACTGTTTATCATGCAGCTAGGTTTATTAGCGTGTAACTAGTTGCAAAACCATTGCATATGGGATATGTGAGGCATATTAAAAACAGGGAAAACCTGGTTTGTCTTTAGGACGAAGTTGAAAGCTCAAGCCTGAGCACAGACAAAGAAAAGAATAGCAAATGGAGTATGATGCTTGTGCATGAAATATACAGCAAGTTATTTTAGTTAAAAAAAGTGCTTTGGAGAGTTCAGATGTTGGATTTAGAATGAATTAGGACTGGCTAGTGCTAGACTTAGGCATCTTGCTTTGGGAAGTGAGCTCTTGTTTTGCAAATGCAAATAGCAGAAGTGACATGGTACTCACTGAGTAGTGGGTGCGGTGTTCAGAATCACAGGCAGATCTATCACCATTTCAGAAGTTAAATTCTTTGCTTTACTAGGCTTTTGATGTATCACAGTAGCGGGGCCGTCTTATTCTCTGAAGGTCTGAATAATCTTGTCATCCAGTGCATAGGAAACTGCAATTTATTAAGCACAAGCTTGCTACTTTAATATCAGTAAAAAAACCTGTTCTAGCTTACTTTCGCTTTGAAGTCCTACCTGGCAAAGGTAGTTGCATCCCACTCCTTCCCCCACCTCTGTCATGAAGCGCAAAGATTCCAACTTTATAAAGTTGACTTTTGTTCCAGCAGCTGGACCAGCATAGTTTGCATACACACTAGCAAAAGAAGATTTCTTTTTTTTCATCTTAGCCATCTAATCTGTAGCTAGTCAGAAGCAGAAACTAAACTAGTTTATCTAAACTTGGACAGCACAAGATTAATGCTTAAACTTGCTTGCAGGAGTTAAAAAAACGGTTTCTGTTGCCATTAGTTGGTTGGAAGGGAAAACAGAGATGCAGCTGGTTTTGGATATGCAAAACAGTTTTGATTTTATTTCTTGCAAACTATAGGACTCCAAGCCCCCTGATACTTGATCAGAACTACATAAACACCAAAAATCAAGTAATCAAAGCAGAAAGGAGGGTACTGAAGGAGTTGGGATTTTGTGTTCATGTCAAGCATCCACATAAGGTGAGTTATCAAAAATAATATAGTTGTAAATATTACTCTACCTTGATGGCACCATTGTGACCTGTGGGACGAGAAATACAGGTGCAGAAATTACCTGATTTCTTCTCTTTATTCCTTAGTAGTTACAATGACCGCTTTTGCCAGAGCACTTGGGCAAATAGTCATACTGACTTTGGTAGAAATTGCTTCCTTGGGAAATGTTAAAGGTGACTGTTCCTGAAAATCACAGAGAAGCAGTAAATAAAGAATTGTCTGAAGGTGATTGGATGGCATCTGAGCTTACAGTGTATGCTTAGGAAAGGAGGAGACCCCATTGTTTCGGAATACTGTTTGGTTATACATAGTTACTTCTTTACTGTTTCTTTTTATGTTGAAACTGAGGGGTGTTGTGTTTTTTTTTTTTTTCTCTCCTTATTCCTCAGATCATTGTTATGTACTTACAAGTCTTGGAATGCGAACGTAATCAAACGCTGGTACAGACAGCCTGGTAAGTTGTTTTTTTCCATTCTTTTTCTAGCCAGGAAAATAGTAGCAGAAATAACAAGCCTGATGATCCATATACAGAGCAATGAGATGTAAGTTACTATGCTAAGACATACTTTTGAAATATTTTAGTGCTTGTTTCTGCTTACTATTTTCATGGCTTGATTCCAGTATAGTAATGGAGAACTCAATTTAACTTTGTTCTTTTTTCTACTCTTTAATTAAAGGGTAGTCCATGATGGTAAGTCATAGAGCTCTGCCCTCTGCACCTCAGCCCATGACCTGGGGATGGCCTGTTTGGCTGCCCTTCTCTCCAGCCAACCCAGTGCAAGCTCTCATCCGAGATTCACTGAAGTGGTCCATATCCATCGGGCAGCATCTTCTAGTTCTGTCTGGGTGTCAAAAGGATTTGTATATTTGCTTTTAGAAGTAATTGTTAAAAATGTTTCTAAATGTATTTGTTGCCTAGCTACTGTATACTGTAGTGTATTTAAAGGACACATGGGGTAGACTTTCTGCCAACATTTATTTAGTTGATTTAGCATTTGGCTAAATTTGAGTTTAAAAAAAGAAAAAAAAAAAAAGAAAATGACAGTGCATGCAGCATGTTCACTTTAGAAGCTGTATTGGGCATGGTTTGCTATAGAGTCAATGCTTACTGACTGCTGTTCATTTCTTCCCTGTAGCTCAGTGCCTTAGAAACCGATGGAGGTCTCTGCTGCTCACATGTGTCTCTTGGCATGTATTGCTTGGCAGTGCCACCCTGGTGGAAGAACCGTAGCTTAGTGAAGTGGGAGACCCGTTACTAACTTGCAGGTCTTTTTCCAACACTCAGTGAGCAAATTGGATGCTTCTCTCTCTGGATGAAGTTAATGTGGCTCAAGGCACACGTAGAATTTAAATGCAATGTTTTATGAACTTTATAGGTTGCATCTAGCCTCTGGAAAATGGTAGGTTAAAACTACGCCATGCTTTCGTGCTTGCATTTTGAGTTTTAAGCATACTGATTTTTAAGTACAAGAACATTGGTGTTTAAAGCAAACAGCTGGGCAGATAAAAAGTACTTGTTAAATTGTTAACTCAATGGACACTTCATGGTATAACTGAACATACCTACCTAGGAAGTAGCTGTTACATACTGTTACTTGCACTGGGGTTTCAAAACAATTGCAACAGTGCAAACTTTGTTACAGGAGTAACAAATATTATTGTCAATTACAGTAATTTGAAAGAAACCAAATGTTTAATAACAGAAAAAATAATAAAGTCAATTGAGTCTCCAGTATTGTTATCCTCTAAATAAAAAGGTGGAACCCTGAGATCCAACCTTTCCTAAATTTTATTTTTTTAGGAATTACATGAATGACAGCCTTCGAACAAACGTGTTTGTTCGCTTTCAGCCAGAGACTATAGCATGTGCTTGCATTTATCTCGCTGCTAGAGCTTTGCAGGTGAGTATTCCTCTGTCTTTACCTGGCATTCCCTTTTATTGCTAGTGATTTGGTTTCGGGAAAATGAATGAAAATATTTAAAACAAAAGCCTGGTTTGTAGCCTCTATTATTAAGCTTTGGGTTGTTTTATTTTCAGATTCCACTACCTACCCGTCCTCACTGGTTCTCACTCTTTGGCACCACGGAAGAGGAGATTCAGGAGATATGCTTAACAACTCTTAAGCTTTATACCAGAAAGAAGGTAACTTTGAGGTGTTTGTTCTTGCTGTGCAGTGTGCAGTGCAGCTTGAGCTTGCATGGCTTCTCCGAGGGGAGTGGGAGAACAAATTATGGAAGATAGTCACATTACTGGACAGCTGATGTAAAGATAATTATTTTTCAGAAATGAGATGGAAAATATGAATTGCGTTAGTTCAGCTTCTTACTACGTTGTTACTTTAACAGCCCAATTATGAATTCCTGGATAAAGAAGTAGAAAAGAGAAAAATGGCACTACAGGAAGCTAAACTGAAGGCAAAAGGTTTAAATCCGGATGGAACTCCAGCACTCTCAACACTGGGTGGCTTTTCTCCTGCATCCAAACCATGTAAGTTTGTTTTCTGAACAGAAACTTGCATAACACTGTTTGATAAGTCTTCTAAGTCTATGTCCCAAGGTGTTAAAAAAAGCTTCTTGAGCTGTTTGACAATTCGGACTTTCTCACAGATGTAAGAAGCAAGACAGGTCTGTTCTAATTTTTTTTGAAACAGAAATTTTAAAAGCAGTTTCAGTGCCTTGAAATAGCAGATTAGAGGGAAGCGGGATGCCTTGCTCCATACTTCCATAGATGGGAGAGTGATACATTGATAATACGCACCCTTGAGATAATTACATTACGAAAATGTCTAGACCCAGGAGCTTGCTGTATATTAGCGTGCTGTGAAGAGAGGCTCTCTGGAGTGAATCTGTTTGGGGGAGGGGGTGTTGCAGTAGCCTTCATGGTCCCTTCTGCAGCAGGTATCTCTGAAAATTGCTTCCTGCGGTGAAGGAAGACAGCTCGCGGTTGGGAAGTGGAGAAGGGAAGGTCATGGTGCTGTCTTGGAGTTAGAGTGAATAAATTGTGTTCATGCATATCTTGAACAGGCCAATAAATCTGTCTGAACTCTGATGACAGAAAGAACAGGCAGTTTTGTCTGGGCGCATTACCTCTTCATGCTGCTGTTGATCTGTAGATTGCTAACAAAACATGAAGGGTATCATGAGCGTTGGTCCAGCGATGGTAGGTAAGGTAGAAGGCGCAGGCCCTTGCTTGTAGATGTGGCCTCTTCAGGAACTGAAGAAGACATTCAGAGAAAGCAATATCTGTAGCAGTTCTTTCTCCATAAGAACAGTATATCTGAGTTTCCAGAGGTCTTTGAGCTGGCAACTGCAAACTTCTCGCTAAGCCATGAAGCGTAGTAGCCCTTCCGTGGAAAGGTGCATCCGTCTCTGGGCTGTACCAGCTGTCTGTGGAGACAGAGCGACTTCGCGGTGTGCTTGGCTGGACGAGTGACGGCCTCGCAAACAGGAGGAGCTTACGGCCTTGTGCTAGTGTCGTCCTCATTTGAGCTATGAACTAACTCAGGGTTTTTTATTCATTGTATTTGTACCACTAGTATAAAAATGAAGTTTGGAAATTAACTGTGAAGGTAACAATTTATGTATTTGTGGGCTGTAAGGCGGCTTTTGTTTTGTACCACTTGGGCCCTGGCGGATGAAACCTCAGGGGAGCCTGGCTGCTTGGTGTGAAGGTCACAGTGGCCTTCTCTGCCCTCCCGCTGGCAGCTGGCTTTAAACGACTGTGTGTCTCCCCGTGAGCGTCTCGCTCCAGTGTTCCCATTTGTAGTACCCTCCTAGAAGAGAAGGTGGAATGAAAGAGTAGCTGTTGAGTTATTTACCTTTTGTGCAAATACTGGTAAAGGTATATAAAGGATACGATACGTTCGTTACAAAGTCTATGAATAAAATACCTAATTTTGAATTTAAATTTAAATCTTAGCTTCCCCAAGAGAAGTAAAAACTGAAGAGAAGACTCCAGTATCTCTGAATACCAAAACCATTAAAAAGGAGCCAGAGGAGAGGCAACAAGTTTCAAAGAGCCCTTACAACGGGTAGGTAAAAATCCCTTCCCGATGAAGAGACTCCTGTAAGAACCGTTTCTTCAACTGAAGTACAGCGAACGACTTCTGAGCTACTTCATGGAAGTAACGAGCACCTCAGAAGTGTAACCCTATTTTATTTGTTTATTTTTTTTCCCCTCAAGCATGAGAAAAGAAAGCAAGAGAAGCAGAAGCAGCAGAAGTGCTAGTCGATCTAGGTCAAGAACAAAGTCACGGTCTCGATCTCACACGCCCAGGCGGCAGTAAGTAGAGGGCTTTTGTTTGGAGGGTGTGTGTCTTTTTCATCGTTACTAGCTCTCTGGGATGTTCCAGCAGGGCTTTTTATCTGCTGAGAAGTACGGCCTCTCCAGGTAGCTGGTACGTGCTTGGCACGAGCTTCTAGCTGCTGGCCAGACTGGGGTCTGGCTTTAGGCTCTGCGTTCTCGACCTGAAGCGGTTCTGTTGGTAACTGCGCTGCCCATAGTCAAAGCTGCAAAAGCTTTGCTGTAAAATGAAAGCTGAAGACAGTCCTAACTGCACGCTACACGATGGGTCTGTGATGGAGCGAGTGCGAGGCAGTCGTGCCCTCTGTGGTGATCCTCACAAGGTGCCCACCCTAAGGGAGAGCAGTCTCTGGGAGCTCGGGCTGCTTCGAGGTGGTGAGAGGTGCCACAGGAACCGCTTCCACGCGTGGCAGCTTCCTTCGCAGCGCCCGGGAGAGTGTGTCCCCTATCAGCGCTGCGTGGTGTGCTGCCTGGCTCCGCAGTGCCCTGCCTCTGCTGTGACTGGGGAGCGGGGGGAGCTGGGCAGGCTGAGGCAGGGACAGCTGCTGCCGCCGTCGGGTAGTTTTTAAAGACTCTTAAGACTGACATTGAAGTTGGAAACTGCCAACTTAGATGTCAGTGAAGCGTTCCCTTAAATGGTGTTGCCTGTCAGATCACTGAAGGAAAAAAGGCAATAACCAGTTCGCAGTCTGGCATTGCGGGAAAGGTTCTTGACGAGATCGAGCAGTTACGGAAGGCGCTGGGTCTGGGTATGGTTTGGGCTTTTTGTTTTCAAAGCAGTTCAATTCACGGGTGTGTCCTGGGACAGTCACTGTCACTCTTCAGCTATTGCTGCGGAAGAAATGGTCTCTGATTTCTTCCAGTAACCTGGAAGTTCCTAAGCATTGGTTTAGCTTTTTATTTTCTGCCGCGTGGAGGACCCGGTTTAACTTCTTCACTCTTTTCCGTCAGCTACAACAACAGGCGGAGCCTGTCTGGGACGTACAGCTCCCACTCGAGGAGCCGGTCTCGCAGCCACAGCGGCAGTCCCCGCCGGCACCCCA